ACCTGGACTCATTAGGAGAGGGTGGATGAGCCGCCTGTGACCAGCAGTGTGTCCCTTGCCTCTGTCGTGCCGAGATGCGTGGATGGTGGAGCGGGCAGGTGACATGGACGGCAAGCCAGCCAGCCGTGTGTTGAAGCCGGAGCGCTTAGCTAGGGGGTGGAGGCGCCCAGGATATGTCGCCTCTGGAATCACGCACAGCCTCGCAGGTTCTTGTGGAGTTTGCCGTCCGCAGGCAGTGTGGAGGACAGAAGAGGGGTTGGGGGGAGACCATCGGTGTCTAAAGTGCAGCACATTCCCACCCTGAGGTCCCAACCAGTGTTCTCCCGGTAGAGTGTATCATTGCGTCGCCCTAGGAGCAGAAAGGGACTCTCTCCCTAAAGGTCTGGTCCTTGCCTCTTGCGAGTGATTTGTTTTGGTTTGGTTTGGTTTAGTTTGGTTTGTTGACACTGGGTCTTGCTATGCAGTTTAGGCAGGCCTTGAGCTCACTGTGTAGCCTAGCCTGGCCTTGACCTCGTGACATTCTTCCTGCCTCAGCCTCCCATGTGTTGGGATTACAGGTGTGCACCACCACGCCCAGTGTGAGTAGCTTTAATTTGCCTTCCTGTGGCTCCTGCAGAGTCTGGGGGAGTGATCACTCACATCACATGCGTTTGAGGAACTGGAGGGAGGGGGAAGGGAGGGGGAAGGGAGGGGAAGAAAGGGTTGCCATGGGAGGAGTCCAGGTCTTGAACCTTTGTGCGCCGACTGGGCCTCTTCCCCTCTAGCCTGACCCCGGCCACGTACTACCATTGGAGCTTTGGGGAGAGCTGAGACCTGCGGGCGCCTAGGGGGATCGTAGGGGTGGCCCGTCCACTTGGCCTGGCACAGTGGCCCGCACTCTGTCAGACAGACATCTGCTGCACTTGTCAGCTTGGTCAGGGGGTGACCCAGCCCCAGCCCAGCCTTGGCACTCTGCCTGTGTGAGCTGGTGACAGTTGAGACCCAGAGAACCATGGACGGGAGGGGCTGCTTGAGCTGGTTACGCCTTGTCCGGAACAGCGGTTTGAAGGGTACCCACTGCCCAGTCCTTGATCTCACCGTAATCCTCCTGCCTCAGCCTCTGCAGTGCTGGGATTATAGGCGTGAGTCACCATGCCCAGCTTCTTTGGATTTTTGAGTAACGTAGTAGCCGACATTTACTGAGCATCTATCTTGGCCTGGTACTGCTTTGAAGCAGCTGATATGTTAGACTGTTGATTCTTGTAACAACCACCCTGTAAAGAAAGCTCTGTTACTCTCATGGGATTCTTTATGGGGAAACTGAGGCACAGGAGTACACCAAGCTCACATGATTTCTCAGCTAGTAGGTAGCACAGCGGCGGTTCACAGCCCTGTGCCCTGATTCCAGACAGCACTGTGCCTGGCCCCTACCCTCTACAGCTGGCACCCATCAGAGGGGTATCTGGAAAGCTTTTGCTGAGGAGCGAGAGGGCCAGGCTCAGAGAAGGGCTGAGGGGCGCGTTCTATGCAGAACCCAATGTCTCCCAAATGCTGGAGATCGCTACTGACCCCTCCATCCCAAGGTGGCCACAGATGACCCGAGAGTCTTTTTAGGGGCAATACCAGGACTCGAACTCAGGAACTTGCACTCGCCAGGCAGGTGCTTGAGCCGCTGAGCTAGATCCCTGGTGCCCCTCCCCCACCAGGGGTCTTAGAAGGGGCAGCATCACCCGCACGCCTGTGATGCATGACTCCTTTGTAAACATGGCATTGCTCTTTAATTAGAAAAGGGAAAACAAGCAATGCGTTTCATGTCAAAGGAGTTTCCCAGGCAGATAAATCAGGCGAGGGCTTCCCAATAATTAGGAGCAGCTTACGCCCCAAGTTTGACTCGGGAAAGGCAAGCAGTGTTCCCTTCCCTCGACGGATTGGTTCTTTACTGGGTGTTCAGAGACAAAGGACTTCCATGGTTAAACACTTGGGGACATACTGAAATAAGCACAAGCTGAAGTGATCCCTTGTGCAGGACTTCTTCAAGTGTGTGTGTAGTGCCAAACCTTGAACCTGGGGTCTTGCAATTCTAGGCAAGCGCTGTCACTGAGCTGCATCCCCAGCCACTGAAGTAAAGTAAATCCACATGACAGGACAGGAGATGCAGCGCTCCCTAAATTTGGGGGAAATGTGTGACAGAGCCTCCCTGGCAGTCAGGAGACCCGAGGCCCACTCTGACGTGCCCTGGGCCCCCCACAGGGCTTACACAGAAGATTATCACCAAAGCCATCTGGTGTTGAGCACAAACCCCGTGCCAGCCCCGGGACTGAGAGCTGCTCCAAACCTGCCTTCCTCTTCTCTACCCTCTGAGATGAGTTCAAGTCCACTTCGCCTTACAACTGAGCTTGAAGAGAGAGGTTTCCAGACGTGAAATGTAAGCTAAAGAAGCTGCAGTTTGGCACCTGGCAGAGCCCTGTGAAATACGAGCCCCCTCCCTGTCTCTTGAGGAAGGTTGGGGGCAGGTCACGGGGCCCTGCTGCAGAACAGAGGACCGGCTGGGCGCTGGACGCTGGACGCTGGGTGCCAGCCCGCTGCCATCGCAGGAGTGGTGTGTGCAGGAAGCAGAGCTGAGGGAGTGGCTGCTGTGGGGGGGCTCTCAGTGGAACAGAGCAGGAGCAGGGTCCTGGGGCAGCCTGCTGGGTGGTACGGGGAGGGAGGGGGCCAGGGCGCCTCGTTTGGAAGTAATTCCGACTTCAGCTGTGTTCTGGCAGCCCTGTACCGGTAACAAGGGTGTGCTGAGGTTGGCCTGCCTGGCGTTGGGGTCTCCTGAAGGCCCTTGGCTAAAGGTTCCTCCCTTCCACCCAGGGGCCGAGGCCCGGATGCTATTCAGACGTTGATCCTGTCGCCCTTGCTGGTCAGTCAGGGGTTGGGGTGAGCGGGGATCTGGAAGGGGGTCACTCCTGAGGATGGAGGTGGGCAGGAGAAGGGGGCCGTGTGGGACCCGTTGAGAGTCTGCTCTTGCAGGCCCTGGTAGCCACAGCAGTGGGGCCATGGACCATTAACGAAGCAGCAGATTGTGGTGGCTGCGAGGTGCCCTGGGCCTGGAAGCCCTGGGGAGGCCGGCTTGGGTCCGGTGGGTGCAGGCCAGGTGCCAGGCCACCGGCCTTCCTGGGCACTGCGGGCGATGATGGGGCCAGGGCCAGGGCCAGGGCTTCCTGGAGCAGGGTGCGGAGCCAGGAGTGGAACAGAGGAGCCATTGAGCTGCCACCTGGCTGCCCACGGGCACTGCGGGCTGGCACAGGAAGCCCTGCCGGGCTGGGAGAGGTCTGGGCTCCAGGCACGGGTGGGACGCACCTCCTTCTGCTCTGACCAGGCCCGAGGAGGGGCTGAAGGGATTGAGGGAGTGGCGAGGGTGGGGGCTGGGAGAGGAGCCTCCGGGAACGCAGCCTCACCTGCTCCCCAAGGCACAACTTCCCCTTGCTTCTGAGTGACCAGAGAGCTGCTCCCGCTGTCCGATCTCCTCCTCAGTGTGAATGGCCCGACAGGTGCCCACAGGGAGGGGTGAGGCTCTGGTGCTCAGAGGTGACCGTGGGTCGGGCCCTGGGGAAGCTCAGCTGGCAGGAAGACGTCCAGTAACCCGAACATCTGCCACTGGAAAGCGGTGGGGACAAGGACAGAGCACCGAGCTTCTTGGGAACAGCAGTTGAAACCAAGGAGGAGCGGGGCATCTCCAGGCTCTTTAACTTTGGGCTTTTTCAGAGCACTGAGGCGCTTCTGTGAGCCCAAAGCCCCAGCAGTAGCGGGCTCCAGAGCCCCTTAGTCAGCGGTGCGGCGCAGGCCAGGAGGGGCGGGGAGGAGGATGGTGAAAGCTCCGAGGGCGGCCGGTGGTGATGGCTGGAAGCATTTTCTGGGGGCGGCTGAGCGCCAGCAGCCTGCTGGAGCTGGAGAATCCAGGACGGGGAGCTCCAGGCCGAGGTGATTGCGTGGTGCTGCTGCGCTCGTGGGAGGTGGCAGATGTCCAAGCAGGGAGGCCGACTTGGGGAAAGGCGGGAGCAGCCCTCCCCGTGCCGCGGGGCCCAGGGCATCTTGCCTGTAGCCAGGTGCTGGAGGCCCCGGGTGAGCAGAGTTCTGTCTCCGCTGCTGTCACCACCGCCAAAAAAAGCCGGTGCCCAGCTTGGAGAAAGGCTCCATTGTCCTGAGCCGGGCCCCACCCTGAGCACCTTGGGCGCCTCTGCAGGGCGGGCGGCTTGTGGTGAGCTCTGCAGGGCGCAGGGATGGATGGGGCAGCCAGAAGCTCATCGCTGGAAGAGAGCGGCACCTGGGAGGTGGAGGGTGTGGCGAGGTCCGGCCTGGCCCCGTCTGCCCGAAGCCTGGGAGTTTCAGGCCACCCTGGCCTCGTGTCTCTCCCAGCGCAGCTGAGATCCCGGGTAGCAGGTTGGTGAGCCTCTGCACGAGGGCGGGAGTTCCAGTCCTGGGTGCCCCACGTGTGTACACGGAATGGTCTTGGGCCTTTTGCTCCCGGACTGCCTGGGGCCTTCATTTCCTGCCAGTGGGGTTGGGACCAGCCCCTGGGGTGTCCTGCGATCACAGCGAAGGGCAGTGCAGCCGTGAGTGCAGCGCGTCCTCTGCTTCCTTTCCTGTTGGTTGGTTTGTTCAGCGTCTGGGAGCGCTGACCTTGCTGCCTCTCTGCCCCTGGCTCGCTCTCTAGAGCCTTTGGACGCCTTCGTCACCAGGTCTGGGAATTCCTTTTGAACCACCTGGTGTAGGTGCTTGTCCTGCGGGAACCCTTGGGCAGGCTGTGCAGCGTGAGACCCGGCCCAGGGACACGCAGTTAGCAGGAGAGAAAGATGCGCGCCTTGGCAGGGCTGCAGAGGAGAGCCAGAGCCGGCGCCTGTGCCAACGCTGAGCTGCCCTGGGGCCGGGGGCTCCCGTCCAGGCCGGCCCAGGACTCTTGTTCCGTGGACAGCTTGGGGAGAAGCAGGGCTGCCCCACACCATCTGAAGCCCGCTATCCTACCCGCCTCCCCACAGCTGGCCATCCTGGAGGACTATGCAGACCCGTTCGATGTGCAGGACACTGGAGAAGTCTCAGCGGGAGCCTCAGGGGCCCCGGAGAAGATCCCCGAAAATGACGGCTACATGGAGCCTTACGAGGCGCAGAAGATGATGGCTGGTGAGTGACAGGCGCAGGGGAGGGACCCCAAGACCCGTCTCTGTACAGCAGGCTGTGGGACCCCCATGTCTTGGGACTGATGCTTGGGTTCCAAGAAAACGGGGGCGCCTTTGCCAGGCCCTTGGGAGGGTGGCCACTGCTTTTAAGATGGTCACTTTGGAAGAGGAGCTTGATTTTGTTTTGGTCTTTTTGAGACAGGGTCTCATTATGGGGTTCAGGCTGGCCTTGAGCTCATTTTGTAGCCCAGGCTAGTCTCAAACTTGCAGCGATCCTCCTGCCTCAGCCTCCCCAGTACTGGGATTACAGGCATGCGCCACCACACCCGGCAGGAGCTTGATTTGTAAAATAGCCTCATACTATAAGTCAGATAGAAGCATTCAAGATTGGAAGGGCAAGATAGCAGTGTGGGCTGGGAGCCAAGGACCCTGAAGAGAGTCACTGGCTCTGGGGCGCTGTTACGAATTCAGAACATTGACATTATCTCAAAGTGGAACATCCTTATGGCACTTAGAAACACAACGAGAAATAAAGACGCCATGGGGAGAGTGCGCCGGGGTCCCGAGGCCCGCAGAGCAGGCTGGTCCAGGAAGGTGACGTTGGTGCCGGGCGTATCTGGCAGCTGAGAAAGGCGAGACACACAGGCAAGTGCTTCAAAGGTTGCAGTGAAGCGTTTGGACTTGCTCCAAAAGGGGTGTGGACTCACGCTTAATTCCTGAGCAAGAAAGAAAGGATAAATGTGGCATTTTGAGAGGATTACTGAGTCCTTTGTGTGCAGAAGGGGTTGGAAGAACTGGGTATCAGGAAGTTCGAGCCAGGCACGATGGCGCGCGCCCATAATCCCAGCGCCCGGAGGACTGTGAGCTGAAGGCCAGCCTGGGCTACGGAGCAAGTTCAAGGCTCCAGGACTGCATCAGAGTCGCTGTCCTGAGACAACAGCAGTGAAAACAGAAAGAAGGGAGGGCTGGACTGTTAGGTGTTGGGAAATTTGGGGGGGCTTTAAGGGGCCGGTAATTAAGGCCTCTTTCTTTCTCTCCTGAGCTTGGGGATAGTTGAGAAATGAGATGAAGGAAACACAGCGGATGGAGCTTGAAAGAGTCAGCTGTCTTACGGACGAAGTTGACCAGAGGGTGATGCTCAGCAGGGTGGCCACATCGGGCCACTTTACCGCAGAACCGAACTTGGCCGCTCAGGCTCAGGCAGGGCCAGAAGCTGCAGCCTCCTGCTCAAAGCACAGGGAGGAGGACCCGGGACCTCTGCTTTGGTACAAAGGCAGATCTGGGGAGAAGGAGCGACTGCTGGCCGGTCGGAGAGGAGCGGGCGGGGGCAGAGATCGGGGCAGCGTTGCCCCTGGAGTCCTCCTCTGCGAACCGTGGAGAGACGAGCTCGGGGCTGAGGTTTGCTCCGGCTGTAATCTGCAGAGGGAGAAATGGGGTGAAGGTCATCAGGTGCTGGCAAGGGACAGTTGGGGTTCAGAAAACCCTGTAGGATCAGGTCCAAGGAGAACATGGAACATGTGGTGGGCAGGAGTGGAGGAGAAGGGGTGGCCGCCTCCTGTAGCTCCATTGCGTCCATCGGACGCTTGTGGGGCTGGTGATCCTCAAACGCAGCCGCTGTGGAGGAGGCGGTGCACTGGAAGGGAGGTGAAGTCACGGGGCATCTTACATGCAGTGGGAAGGCAAGTAGAGACACCGTCGCTGTCAGAGACCAGGCAAGGAGGCCGTGGGCCAGGCCAGGGCAGGGAGAATGAAGCTGACGAGCCGTGGCGGCTGCAGGGAGAGCCCGGCGGGAACCACAGGGAGAAGACGTCCGGGATGTTGGCTTGGGAGAGGGCAGGGCGTCCAGGAGGGCGTGGTCCCAAGCGTGCAGCGACAGCAGTGGGGACCTGCAGACAGACATGTTGGGCAACAGGAGCAGGTGGGCGAGTGCAGGGCTGTGACTCGGTCCCCTAAGATGTGTCAGATAAGCTGCTCAGCGATTGCTGTGTGTTCTGGGACCCTTTTTCTTTTTCTTCCTGAGACAGGGTCTGGCCATTTAGCCCAGGCTGACCTCAGACTCACAGCAATCCTCCTGCCTCAGCCTCCTGAGTGCTGGGATTACAGGTGTGCCCGATTACCACACCGGCTCCAGGGAATACTTTCTCTGTGTTTCACTCTAGAGCTTGTCTGTCTGTCTCCCATGCGCCTTATGCTTTGTGAGCCCTTAAGTGTTTGGTTTGAAAGGTGCTGTTTCCCTTCTGTTTTTTCTTTCCTTCCTTCCCTTCTTCCTTCCTCTTTCCTTCCTTCTTCCCTCCCTCCTTCCTTCCTTCTTCCCTCCCTCCTTCCTTCTTTCTTGCTTCCTTCCTCCTTCCTTCCTTTCTCCTTCCTTCCTTTCTCCTTCCTTCTTTCCTTCTTCCTTCCTTCCTTCCTTCCTTCCTTCCTTCCTTCCTTCCTTCCTTTCTTCCTACCTTCCTTCCTTCTTTCTTTCTTTCTCTGATGCTGAGCATGGAACCCAGCGTCCTATGCAGCCCGGAGTGGCTCTGAGGGTGACAGCTCCAGGAGGTGTGGCTGTTGGGCTCCCCCAGAGCCAGGGCTTTGGCCTCAGATCTCTGGCCGAGCCCACACCTCTCCCTCATCCTTGGCCTGGCAGAGATCCGGGGCTCTAAGGAGCCGAGCGCCCAGCCCTTGCCTCTGTACGACACCCCCTACGAGCCGGACGAGGAGGGCCCCACCCCCGAGGGCGAGGCTGCCCCGTGGCCCCGGGAGTCCCGCCTGCCAGAGGATGACGAGAGGCCTCCGGAGGAGTATGACCAGCCCTGGGAGTGGAAGAAGGAGAGGATTTCCAAAGCCTTTGCCGGTGAGTCTGGGCGGAGACATTTAATGCATCAGACCGGGTGTGCGTGCGTGCGCGCGCGCGTGTGTAAGTACCAACGCACACGTGTCACTGGAAGTCCCTGGCTTTGTCTCCTGGTGGACGGCTCAGTGCACTGGGGGTTTGAGGCCCCAGGAGGACTCAGCGGGGCGCCGTGAGGAGTCCCCTGACCGCCGAGTGAGGGTCCGCTGTCCTGTTGTGCGGTCCATCCCAGGCCGGCCCGGCCCCTCTGCCCGCCTCCTGCCCGCCAGCAGCCAGGCTGGAAACCGCTGCGCGTCCTCGGCTTCCCGTAAAGCGCCCGCCATGCGAGGACGAGGATGAGGACGGGCCGTTTATCTCCTGGAGAATCGATACTGTTTGGATTACTTAATGGGAAAATCTATGCCTGTCATTAGGAAACCTCGTTAGCGGTGCTGCAGCCGCCCGTGGCGGCACTGCTCCTGGGATGGGGCATTAAATTTCAATAAAGCAAGGGCCCCTGCCCGGCTGCAGGCCTGCGCCATCCTGAGGCCCGGAGGTCTGCAGCCTGCTGGGGCCCGGGATGGCCGAAGGGAGGCGAGGCGGGGGCCGGGCTGTGGGTGGCTCCGATCCTGCTTCTCCTCTTTTCTGGGCCCCTGAGGGCTGTGAGAGGTGGACGGGAGGAGGCGGCCGCTGGCTGTGAGAGCGCCCCGCCTGCGCCTCCCACCGTGACCTGACCTGAGTGAGGGGGCGCCCTGCCAGCCCCAGCCGGTCCTGCTCCTGCCCCCCCGCCCCGCCTGCCTCAGCTGTCCTGTGTCTCAACCTCGGCCTGTCTCTGTCTCTGTCACTGTCTTTCTTCTCCTTCTGCTGCTGGCTCCAGTTGACATAAAGGTCATCAAAGACCTACCTTGGCCTCCGCCCGTGGGACAGCTGGACAGCAGCCCCTCCCTGCCCGACGGGGACAGGGACGTCTCCGGTCCAGCCTCACCCCTCCCTGAGCCCAGCCTGGAGGACGGCAGCGGTGGGTCCTGGGGGGCTTCTGTCCAGGGAGACAGGTCCTCTTGGCCCTGTGGACCTGGGCTGGAGGAGCCGAGAGGTTGGGTGGGGCTGGGAGGGGAAACCCACTGGCTCAGCAGGGAGGGGAAGGGAGAGAGTGCATGCTCCTCTCCCAGGAGCTGGGCGGAGCCTCCACGCCTCCAAATTCCACCTATTCTATTTTGTTTTATTTATTTAAATTTATTCTCAGTACTCGGGGTGGAACCGGGGCCTTCACTGAGCAGCATCCCCAGCCCTGTGTACGTTTTGTACTTGGAGCCCGCGCTTGCTGAGCGGCCGGTCTGGGCTGCACTTACCTCAGCCTCCCCAGCAAGGGGGGATCACAGGTGTCCACCACCCCACCCGGGAGAAGTGCACTATTTTCAGGCCTTTCTGGGTAGAGCTGCCAGTACAGTGTACCCCGGGGGTGGGAGTGGAGCTGGCTCAGGAAGCTTCCTGCCTGGAGAGGATCTGTCCTTGCGTCCAGTGACTGCAGGATGGTAAAGGCTTGAAAGTGGTAAGGAGCCAGGCATGGTGGCGCACACCTGTAATCCCGGTACTTGGGAGGCTGAGGCAGGAGGATCCCTGTGAATTTGAGGCCAGCCTGGGCTACCTAGTGAGGCCCTGTCTCTAAAAAAGAAAGTGATGAAGGAGAGAACAGGGAGAAAGCCCTGAGCGTCCTCTGCCTTCCGCCCTGCCCAGAGCGGGCACCTGAGGCGTCCGTAGCGTCTGTGGGTGCGTTAGTACCCAAGAGCTGGGTTATGTGAATGCAGATGGAGGAGTGCTTGTCTCCGTGCCTCTGGGCCCTGCCTGGGACCTGTTGGGGCGGCAGCTGGCAGGCTCCTGGCCTGGGAGGGCAGAGCCACCTGCGGGGCTCCTGGGAGGGGTGGTGGGCAGCGACCAAGGGCAGGGCAGGCAGGCGGCCGTCTGGCGGCCTGGGCAGGATTAGCCTGTCAGGATGGCACCGGGGAATCGGGTAATTGTTCTCCAATCGATAAGTCATTTCTGCAGAATGGCTTGGCAGGGTGATTTGAAGAACGGTAATGAACTCTGAGGAGGAGAAAGAAACAATATTATCAGCGCCAAAGGCACTGAGGGGGCGGGAGGCTGTCGCTGCTCCTGCGGGAGGTGCTCAGTGGTTTCCTGGGTAGCTGCCTCCCCAGAGCCCCAGGACTTGGGGCTGTGTGGTGCGGGAGGCCGAGCCCGACCTGGGCAGGGGGCTGCACACCCTGTCCGCAGCGTGGGGGAGGGGGCTCCACGGCTGTTACCCGAGGTCCTCGGAGTCCCTGACCCAAGCTTTCCCTGCAGCCCAGTTTGAAGGATCAGAGAAGAGCTGCCTGTCACCCGGCCGGGAGGAGAAGGGGCGACCGCCTCCCCGGCTCCCTGCAGTGACCCCCAAGCCAGCCAAGCCCCTGGGCACGGAGCCTGGCAGCCCCCTGGGGGAGTGGACGGACCCCGCGTTGCCATTGGAAGACCAGGTGTGAGTGTCTGCGTCCGCTGGGGCTACTTGGGCTTCCCTGCAGGGGGGGCCGGGCCCCGCAGACACGCCCCTCCTCTGTCCCCTCCTCTCATCTCAGCTGGTACCACGGGGCCATCAGCCGCACCGACGCCGAGAACCTGCTGCGGCTGTGCAAGGAGGCCAGCTACCTGGTACGCAACAGCGAGACCAGCAAGAATGACTTCTCCCTGTCCCTCAGGTGAGTGGGGACCGGCGTGGGGCCCTGAGACGCGTGGGCTGGCCCTGCTGGCTAGGAGGGAACTGGCAGCCTCAGCCACAGCTCAGAAGGGTGCTGGTACTCACTAGCTGTGTGGCTTCCAGAGGCTGAGGCAGGAGGATTGCTTTGAGCTGGAGGCCATGCTAGGCTCTGTGGTAAGTTCAAGGCCAGCCTGAACTGCACCGTGAGACCCCGTCTCAAAAACATTTTAAATTGGACAGTGAAGGAATTTCTAAACTGTGTATACTTGGAGGGTTCTCATTCCACTTCAGGAAAAGATTTGAGAAAAATGCCGAGTGGGGTGGCGCACACCTGTAATCCCAGCACTTGAGGGGTTGAAGCAGGAGGATCTCTGAGTTCAAAGCCAGCCTGGGCTACATAGTGTGTAGAGCAAGACCCTGTCTCAAAAAGTAACAAATAAATAAATAAAAATAAATAAAACATAGGAGAAAAAAAGCACCAAACTAGTTAGGTAACCTGAGTTCTGCTCTTGGGTTTGATAACACTAGCTATATCACCCAGGCCTCCCTGGCCTCGGTTATACCTTTGTGAAATGATAGACATCTCTTAGGCTTCTTTTTTTCCAGTGCCTATATTCAGTCTGGGGGTTATAAAAATCAAAAGAGCATTTCAGAAAAATTCATTTGTCAAAAATTTGATTTGTGCCCAAATCAAATTATGGTGGTACATTAATCGCAGCGCTCTGGAGGCTGAGACAGGAGGATCACAGAGTTCGAGGCCAACCTAGGCTACATAGCAAGTTCAAGGCCAGCCTGACCTACATTCAGAACATCTGTCTCAAAAACCAAAAACAAAATTTTTTGGTTTACACAATATCATAGGGTGTATTGTTGAAAATAACTACAGCCATGGTGCCTACCAAGCAGCATATACACCATCTCCAAACCAACTCGCACCGGTCACCAGATAGGTTTCTTTCTCAGCACACAGAATAGATTCGGAGGTTTATAACTTGCTCAAGCTCACCAGCTAAATCAAGTCCCCAAAGGCAGACTATGGCAGACCATGGTGTTGTACACCCTTGGGCCCTAGCACTAGAGAAACCGAGGCAGGAGGATCACTTGAGCCCAGACAAGAGTTCAAGGTCCGCCTGAGCAACATAGCAAGACCCAGTTCAAAAAACAAAAGAAAAAAATATTTATATGTTTCCAATTTGGGATTTGAACCCAGCTCCGAGTCTGACCTCCGTCTGACTCCGAGGGGGCCCTGCCATGAGTGCCTGGAGTCTTCTGCGCCCAGCCAGGGGAGATGCAGGGGTCTGGTTACCTAGAGGGACGGCAGCCAGCTGAGGAGCCCTGGCCTCGCCCCAGCCCAGGCTGATCTGGCCTCTCCCGCCGCCTCTGTCTGCCAGGGCCTCGTTTGCATATAAATGGCTTCTCTGAAATACAATTATGGTTTTTCTTCTCTCCCTAATGGAAGGGCTTTCACTAGTAATTAAACAGCTTCCTCCAAAGGCCTGGCCAGCCCCTGGCCCTGTGGCTAGCCGGTCCCAGCCGGCCCCCGTGGGTCTGACAAGGGCCTTGCTGGGTCCTAATGGGCCCTGTGGACCTGGGGGGGCGGGTGTCACAGCCACCCTCCCTGGTGGTCCGTGATGCGGAGGCCGGCGCTGTGGTGGATCTGTCCTGGAGGAGGAAGTACAGCTCCCAAGTGCCTGTGGGGAGCGGGGCAGGAGGGCAGGGCTGTGGCCTGGCCTCGGTGAGGGGCACGTGGTGTGGGGGCCCTCACTGCCAGCCCCAGGCTTTTATCTCAGTCCTGCGGATGCCCCACGCCCTGCCCTAGCCCAGCCTCCTCTTGGGGGCTGCCAGGCTGCAGAGTGGAGCTCCCCACCCCCCCAGCCTCCCGCTGCTCTCCGGGGCTTCATGCCCAGGCAGGGGTGAGGAGCCAGCGTGGCCTGTGAAGATGGGGGCCTCAGGAGAGACCCCCAAGCCCTGCCCTTGTCCCCAAGCAGGTCCTGGCCCTAGAAGGCCTCTCCAGACATCTGTTAGGCTGACTGAGTTTCAGGCGCAGCCCTGGCAAACTGCGTGGGTGGTAGTTTGGACACTTGGGGGGGCCTCACTCCCACATCCTCGCCCCAGGCTGAGGGTCGCAGGACACTAGGGCCCTGGCACGGGGCGATCTCCATGGGCGGGGCAGCGGACTGCAGCTTCCTGAGGGTGTCACTGCAGCCCCCAAGGCGGGATGGAGGGGCAGGGCTGGCCCAGGGCCGGGAGGAGGGTGAAGGGATGACCTTGAAGCGCAGCTCATGCCAGTGCCCCCGCCTCCACGCTGCCCTGCTTGGCTCCCGCCTGCACGCGGCTGGCTTTGAGGCCACGGGTGCCGCGGGCGCCTGGAGGGCTGAGGGTGGCCCGCGGGCGCCCCAGGCCCCCTCACCAGGGTCTCCTCCCTCGCAGGAGCAGCCAGGGCTTCATGCACATGAAGCTGTCCCGGACCAAGGAACACAAGTACGTGCTGGGCCAGAACAGCCCTCCCTTCAGCAGCGTGCCGGAGATCGTGCACCACTACGCCAGCCGCAAGCTGCCCATCAAGGGGGCCGAGCACATGTCGCTGCTGTACCCCGTGGCCATCCGGACTCTCTAGACCTGGGGCCCGGCGCCGGAACAGACCGGGATCTGGCCTGGGCCGGGGGCCGAGCGTCTGGAGGGACCCAAGGAACTTGATCCTGCCACCTTGCGTCCCCTTGCCCTGGACCCTGGGGCCTCTAAGGCCGCAGATTCCTTAATTTATTGTAAAGAGGAAGGCGCCTGGGGCCTGCGCAGGGCCTGGTCCCCCGGGTCCGCCTGGGGCGGAGGCTCTCGCCTCGGTCTGCCCCGGCTGCGCGGGAAGCGCCCTGGCCAGCGGCGCGAAATAAACCGATCCTGCCAGGCACAGCCGCGTTCGCGCCGGCGCCGCCGCAAGCCAGGCGGGGGGAG